TTGGTGTGGGTTAATGCGCTGGACTGCAAGGTTGGTTTGAACTGCAAGGTCTGTGGTCTAAGTTCACCGACTGCTCCTCGGAACACCTATATAGGGTCGCTATGAGTCAGAACCGACTCGGCAACACTTAACAACAACATAGTGGTGTGGATTCCTGGTGTGGCTCTGTAGGATAAGCACTGGACTGCAAACCACAAGGTTGGTGGTTCAAATCCATCAGCTGCTCCTTGGAAACACTATTCAGGGTCGTTACGAGTCGGAATTGACTCAACAACACTTAACAACAACAACAACATGATTTGACAATAGGCACTGAACTTATAGAGGCTATAAGCTGCCCTGGTGGCACTGTGGGTTAGGCATTGTTAACCATAAGATCTGTGGTTCAAACCCACCAGCTTCTCCAAGGGTGAAAGATGAGGTTATCTGGTCCCATAAAGATGAACAGCTTCAGAAACCCTCAAGAGCAGCTCTACTTTGTCCTATGGGGTCACCCTGAGTCAGAATGGACTCAGTGGCAGTGGGTTTCCTGTTGTTGTTTTTAAATAGTGGCTATAACCCCATTTGGGAATGAGTTTTCTTTATGTTAATGAGACACCATGAGTGCAGGGTGTATCTTAAGTTTATCTCTTTTGAAATATAAAAGTGCAGATTAAGCAAACAGAAATGGGGGAAGATTAATTCCATGTCACATGAAGATCACCAAGCAGCCAAGGAGCAGAAGCTGAAAAGAGCCGGAGACCTTCCCCCAAGAGCTGACAAGTTTCTAGAGAAAGCACTCTGAATTCAGACTTCTAGCTTCCTGAACTGTGAGAAAATATACTTCTGTCAAAGTTATCCTTGTATTTCTGTTATAGCAGCACTAGGGAACTAAGACAATGACATTTAACTTTGATTCTGATTTGAATCAGCCAATTAAAAGTCTGAAACAAACAAACCAACACCCAGTACCCAATGCGGTAGCTCCATAGGTTAAGCACTGGGCTGCGAACCTCCAGGTCAGTGGTTCAAATCCACCAGCTGCTATGTAGGAGAAAGATGAGGCTTTCTGCTCCCACAAAGATTCATAGCCTTGGGACCAACTGGATGACACTTAACAACAAAAAATGAGTTCGCCTCAACTCACAATTTAGTTAACAGAAGATTTCTTTCCGACAAATATGGTATGACCCTACTTAACATTAAATAAACAAATGTATAGAGACTAGAGTTTAGTAATGCCTACCAGGGTCAGGAGGGATGAGTGGGATAGGGGAGACAAGTGTTAACTCAGGGTCACTGAGTCTCTGTTAATGTTGTTGTTGTGCCATTGAGTCAGTACTGACTCATAGTGACCCAGTATAAGGTTTTGTTGTTGTTATGTGCCATGGAGTCGATTCCGACTCATAGCGACCCTATGGGTTTCCGAGGCTGTAAATCTTTACGGGAGCAGAAAGCCTCATCTTTCTCCTGCGGAACAGCTGGTAGTTTCGAACTGCTGACCTTGAGGTTCACAGCCCGATTGGTAACCACCACGCTACCAGAGCTCCTAGTATAGGGTTTAGAAAGGAGCAATTGGTGGGTTTGAACTGCAGACGACGTGGTTAGCCGTCCAATGCTGATCCTACAGCGCCACATCAGAACTCCTTCTGACAATGGTGATGGGAGAATTTGAAAATGGATAATGCTGATTCTTGTACATCATCATGTAGGTAACCAATGTCACATAATTCCACACAAGAACAGAGTGCCTTCTGGGGATTCTGCCACTGGAGGAGGAAATGTGGAAAAGTCAACCTGAATGATTTCTACCTCAGAACAGAATGATCTGTGGCCCTGTCCCACAGCATGCTCAAGAGGAGGCTCAGGAGAAAAACACAAACAAGGAGCCAGGAACCCACAGGTCCTGGGTATATGTTGACGTGAGCTAGCTGCACAGCTCCGTCTAAACCACTGAGCCACTCTGGGACCTTGTTCTTCAGCTCTATGGTGGGAGCATGAAATCCAAACTCTATGAGGTCCCTTTCAGAGCAAACTCCAGGGCTCTAGAAATGCCGAAAGGTGTCTAAAGAGCTCCCCCACACTGATCACTTCAGCAAGTGTTTACTGGGCACGGCTCTTTGCCAGGCTTTGTCCCTTCTGATACCCAGGGGATAGACAGACAGGCAGCAGCATTATCTTCTTGTCACAGAGATTTGTAAAGGTTAAATAAAGTATGATAAAAAATAAAGACTCCCAGAGACAAACTGCAAACCCCCTCAGTCTAGCTTTTGACCCACCATCATGTACCCACCCCAAGAATGACAGTTGGGGTCCTGGAATGGGCCCCTTGCAGTGGCTGGGAAGAAGGAAGAGGAAGCTGGTGGATGGGTGCTCAGGGTATAAGCCGGACTCACCTTCACGCAGGAGTAGATCACAGACACAAATACCACCAAGATGAGCAGCAGGAAACAGGTCAGGTAGAAACTCAACATGAACACGGAGCTGGAAGTAGAGAGGAGGCTGAGGCTGGACTGAAAGGTGACAACGGCGGACAAGGATCAATGTCCAGGCTGTGGGAGCCAGCCAGTAGGCACAGGTGCCCGGTGCCTGGCCCCACAGCTCCAGAGAGCTTTCCCCCCACCAAGGGAGGCAGAGGTTGCCCCATTTCCCTTGAACCCACGCCCCATCTTTTCTAGCCCCCTGACTTAATCAGATGGGCTTGCAGGGCTGTGCAGACCATTCAGGAACCTTCCTTCTGCAATAGCAGTCTGGTTCCTGCCCTTCCCACTTCCTGTTACTTCCTGGAAGGAGCATCTGCCAACAGTGGAGATACGTTGTCGGCATGTCACCTGCATCTTAGCCACCTGCAAGCCTGTTTCATTTAGCTTTGCAATGGGAAGGGCTCATTTCAAACATCACCTGGTCATTTCTACCAGGTACTCAGTCACTCATGGCTTGATAAAATAATGCAAAGCCTGAAAACTGCTAAATGCCTCATTACTAAACATGTGTTTGCCAGCATTCAGATTTGCCTTAGAAGCTGGGGAGATGAGTCATTTGAGAAGGACAAGTCCCTAAACACCGACCCCTTACTGTTGCCAGGCCCAGCAGTATGTCTTGTGGAGTTTGTTGCTCTACTAGACATACACAAAAATCCTCACCACTGGACCAATAAACACCATCAAGATAAATGCAGAAAAGATTGAAGTTGTCAAAGACTTCATTTTGCTCGGATCAACCATCAACACTCACGGAAGCAGCAGTCAAGAAATCAAATGATATATTGCATTGGGTAAATCTGTGGCACAATACCTCTTTACAGTGGCCGAAAGCAAAGATATCAGTTTGAGGACTAAGGTGCACCTGCCCCAAGCCATGGTATTTTCAATAACCTCATATGCATGTGAAAGTTGGACAGTAAATAAGGAAGACCTTAGAAGAATTGATACATTTGAGTTCTGGTGCTGGAGGAGAATACTGAAAGTACCATGGGCGGCCAAAAGAACAAATCAATCTATGTACTGTGAGGAAGTACAGCCAGAATGCTCCTTGGCCAGACTTTGTCTCTCATACTTAGGGACTATTATCAGGGACCAGTCTCTGGAGAAATATATCATGCTTGGTCAAGTGGAGGGTTGGAAAAAAACAGGAAGGATTCCTCACCCCACCCCCACCCCCAGTGAGATGGATTGTCACAGCGGCAGCAGCGATGGTTCAAACATAGCAGCAATTGTGAGGTTGGTGCAGAACCGGGCAGTGTTTTGTTCTGTTGTGCACAGGGTTGCTATAAGTCAGTACCAACTTGATGGCACCTGACACCAACAAACCTGCCCACTCAACAAGAAAAATGCAAGGGTGGCATCCAGTCCCTCATTTCAGAGGTGGATAGAAACCTGCTGGCCCTCCTGAGGGCAGGGGCTGGCTGAAGAACAGCAACTCCTTCCATGCCAGCAGGAGGCCACAGAGGCATCTTCCCTCATTCAATGGAGGGAGTGTGGCTTCAGTGCCAGGTATTGTCAGCAGGTTACAGGCAAATAGAGGACTGAAAGGGCAGGTGAACCCCTTGAGGGAGACATTCAAACAGCTCCTTTGTTCCCGGCTTCTCCAGAAACCAGCATTTAGCTGCCTTAAACAAAGAGCATGAATGGAAAAGAATTCTCTTCAGAAAGAAAGAAACTTCTTTAAAGTACTGTGTCTTTTATGGCTTCCCCAGAGAGAGAGAATGTGGAGAATGACTTCTGCCAGTGCCTTAGCAACTCAGACTGTGGCCAGAGAGGGAAAGAAGCTACCGTATTAAAGCAGGCCCTGCTCCTTGCTGCAGAAAAACAGAAGTAGCAAAGAGGGAGGATGAGGCACCCAAGCAAACAGGGCTGTGCGGTACATTATGACATAGAGCTTAGGGTGCTTGTTCCTACCTATGGCTCCATTTCAGTTCAGAAAAATGGCATTCTATGCCACTAAGACATCACAGTTTGTCATACTGTGGTGGCTTGTGTGGAAGTTATGTCATTGGTATCTCAAATACTAGCAGGTCACCTATGATGGACAGGTTTCAGAGGAGCTTCCAGACTGAGACAGACTAGAATGAAAGGTCTGCTGATCTGCTTAAAAAAGTATCCAATGACAGGGGAAGGTAGAATCACCATTGAATAGTTTTCATCTTGTCTAGAGGGGTCTGCTGGAAGGAGATGGGGACAGGACTCTTTAGATTCACTAATGAGAAATTGTTTTCATGACTAATTTCGGTTGTCACAACTGTAAAGATAGAAATTTTGTAACATAAAGGGGGGAGTAGTTAATTTTACTGTCCCGAAACAGAGGACCCTAGGACCATCAAGGGAGAAGAGCACAAGTGGAATGTGGGACCGTATTCAGAGAAGCAGCAACACCAGAGATGGAGGCAGAGGTGATGGCATGGAGAGAGGGAGCAGCTGAGGACTCTGGACTTATGGAAAGAGAGGGACTGGGTGCTGGTGGCCAGGAGACAGGCTTGCAGAACGTGCCATTTGGTTGTTAAAATGATTATATATTCCTGAGTGGTTTTGTGTCCATCAAAATCAAAACAAAAACAAACAAACAAAAATACTATTAAATGATGATGCACAGAGGGATTGTAATCATTGCGGTGAAAGAAACTAGAATAGGATGAGTGCAAAACCGATGTTCTCCCATATAAACTATCACTCAATTCACAATAAAAACTTTAAAAAAAAATAAACCAATTAAATCCCTATGGATCACAACCAAATCTTGTCCAATTACAGTGCTTTAAGATGAGCCTCTTATATTGAAAGGCACGCAGAATAAAACGGGGCACTGAGAAATGGAAGCACTGAAAAGGTTTTAGCTTAGCCTACAGTAAAATAGAACACAAATAGCCATTTTAAAACAGGCCCTGTTGTTGTTGTTGTTAAGTGCCATTGATACAGTTCTGACTCACAGCAACCCCATATAGAGTTTCTGAGGAGCAGCTGGTGGGTTTGAACTGTTGACCTTCTGGTTCGCAGTTCAGTACTGAACCTCCAGCTCCATACCAGGAGTCTTAAACCAGTCGCTATAGTTAAAATGACACTTAAAAACAAAAGTAGTTAAAATTTAATTTCCTCCCTAGCTACAGTCCATAATTAATCACTCCTTTTCAATCTCGAAAGCAGAACTTATGGCTCAAATAGGGGGAAGCTCTCCTCCCAGGAGCAAAGGCAAAATCAGCAAATAGGAACGGTCTAAAGGGTAACTAGATTTAGGATGAGACCACCCTAACTACTCGAATAGAAAGACAATACAACAATGCCTGACCACAAGCTGTATGATCTTGATTTTCTGTCCTTTTAAAAACTCCAGGCTGCTCTCCAATCGAAGAAGCAGATCTGGGAGATTCCCCTTCCCATGTCCTTGTGTGTATCGATACACAATAAACAGTTTGCTCTCTGAGTACTGGCTGTTTGTGGCAATATTTTGTTCTGAGTCAGAGCAGACTTGATGGTAACTAATAACAACAACTTGCCAATAAGGGTCCAGAATCCCACTGACTCTGTACAGCATTGGATACAAAACTGTGGGGAACTAGCTGTCAGCACATGGTTTTCACCTGTGGTATTGTGAGTCACAGAAATTACCAATGTTAGGAGCATCTCTTCAACAGTAAAGGCCATTGAAAATAAGAATTGTTGATACAGAACACTGGGAAGGACAGAACATCACTGCCATGGGAGTTTTGTAAAAACCATATAACCTTAATCTAATGACAAGTATTCATCAGGCAAATTCAAATGGAGGCATTCTACAAATTAACTGGCCAGTACTCATCTAAAGTGCCAAGGTCATCAAAGACAAGGTAAGACTGAGGAACCGTCACCTATTTATTGGAGAGTATGAAGGAGATCAACAACTCAAAGCAATGTGGGGTCCTGGCTTAGTTCCAGGAACAGAAAAGGCCATTAGGGGAATAATAAAGCACGTAGGTGAATTCATGGCATCGTGCCAACGCTGATGTCCTGGTTTTGATTACTGTACCATGGCTGTGAAAGGTGTGTACATTAGAGGCAGCAGGAAGACAGATGGACAGGAACGCGCTGTACAACTGCTGCCGCGTTTCTGTTAGTCTACAATCATTTAAAAATGAAAAATAAAAGGTGCTGGTGAGGGGACTCTTCTACATTAAAAAAAAAAAAAAAGACTTATGAAACATAACCAAAGGCAACCATTGGTGGATTCTGAGGAGATCCTAACATTTTGGGGACAATTTTGGAAACTCAATGATTGCATGTCAGCAGAGAACTGGTGTTGATTTTGTTTTGTGTCAAAGGTATTGCAGTTCAGGAGGAAAATGTCCTTAAACCAGAAGTGCATATTAGCCATTTTAGGAGTAAAGTGTCCTGGTGTCTAAAATTTTCTTTAAAAAAAAAAAAATCAGAAATATTAGATGAAATAAATATTGGAAAATATTAAAAATTACTGTCTCTAGGGAATAGGTATGCTGGTGCTAATGATATGCATGCTTGTTTTCCTGTACATCTTAAATATTACATAATCAATGCAAAAGAAATGTGTGTGTGTGTGTGTATACACATTGTTGTAATTAGTTGCTGTTGAATCAGCTTCCAGCTCACGGTGACCCATGCACACTGGAGCAAAACGCTGCTGGCTCCGTGCCATCCCTATGACTGGTTACAAACTGATTCTCAGGGGTTTTCGTTAGCTGATTTTAAGAAGTAGAACACTAGGCCTTTCTGCCCAATGTATATGCATGTGTGTGTGTGTGTGTGTGTGTGTGTGTGTGTGTG